AATCGCCGCCGGGGGGCGCCTCTATAAATACGGCAACCTTACACGCGCGCCGCGCCCGAAATACCCTGCTCTACACGTGTCGCCCCGAGTTCCGATCCTCCGGCCCCACCCGCCCCGAGCGACTGTCGTTAGCGGCACACAATAACCACGACGGCGAACGCGCGCCTGATCGCCACCCGATCCGGACCGCGGCGGGGGCGTGGCACGCAAAGGGAGTCTGCGCGTGGGCGCGCGCGAGCGCTCGCCGCCGCCGCGCCGGCAGACGCCGCTGACTCACGCGCCCGCGAATGGAACGGCGCGCGCGTCGGGAGGCCGGATGCATCTCAGCTCCCGCCGGACTTTGTATGGGGCGGCGGCGGCGAAGGCGGCGACCCCGCCGGGGATTCCCGCGCATTCCACCGCCGTCACGGAGCACGGTGCACCGGCTTCGTCTTATTTGCATGTTACACGGTTCTCATGGGGGGCTTCATGCGTGTTTGCCTTCCCAGGTCAGAGTGCAGGCACGATCATGCATTTTTTTTATATCTCTGGTGTATAACGAGCAGAGGCGAAATTCTAGAAATTGCTACTTGAATTTTGAATGGGCTTGCCTTCTATTACATGCGTAGTTACTAATCAAATGAAATAAAATAGTTCTCAAGAGACTTCTAATAAAACCGAATGAAGAATACTCACTTTAAACGTGCTTACAAATTTTTCACGTCTCACGCGAACCTGCACAGCTCAGCGGCCGATTTGGCGGACGTTTCGTTTACCCGCGTGCGCTACCTGCCGCGGCGGGGCGGACAGCAAGGAACGTCGCGAACAGAAAGCGCCACCGCCGTCGCCGTCAGCCGCGCCAGCGCACACCCGGGCGGTCAACGCTCCTGCCCGCCGGCCAAGGTCAAGTGCGCAGCCAGAGCGACCGACCAGCCTGCGCCCCGTCGTCACCACCACTGCCACAGTCGCCGCTACCTCCTCTGCGGACCCCCGTGATGTAAGCGCGACGACGGCCCTAACATCGTCACGTGACGCCCACAAGCTTCCCCCCCAGATGTCAGCCCACACATCGCGTCTCTCGCTTCTCTCCATTCATATGCGAGTGTGCGTTGTCGGCCCATTAAAAGCCAGACCGGGCCGGGCCGAGCCGAGCCGTAGGAAAACGTGCCCGCGCGCTCGAAACAGAAGAAACCCGCGGGAACGTAAGCGCCAGAGACGAAAGCCCGCTGACAGACTAAAGATGCCGACCTACGTTCACGTCATTTTACGCGGTACAGCGGGAACCGCGCCGCTCTACCGTTCCCACTGGTAACGATGTAGTCCCGACCGGAGGTACACCGGATACCCCTCACCTCGTCAGCAAGACCCAGCGCTGCGAAAATTTGTTGCGAAATTTTTCTATCTCATCATTACAACAAAAAGATCCGGATGAAAGCGGAACGCTCGCGAAATTGAAACTTACCGGTATTCGCCGAAAGTCGCGAGAAATTCGCACGATTTGATCTATCGAATATTTTTCGACGGAATGTCCGCGAAATCTCTGCGCTCGAGGAAGTTGTACACGCGAACTCCCGCCCGTGCGTCGCCCGCCCCGCCTCTGTTTCCGCGTAGTAACAAGTGAATGGGCGAGGCCGCGCGCCAACGTGAGCTCATCGCAGCAGTCGCCGGCACGCGCGCCACCGCACAGCGACATCAAGCGCGAAGTCCGCTCGAACTCATGGTGAAGGTCGAGCCGAAAAGAAAAATCACAGAATCTAATAGCCCCACCTCTTGTTTGAACACCTTGAACTGCGGTACGAATAAAATTAGAAAATTGAAAGCAAGAAAACTAAGTCAATTTTGTTCAAACTCTTAATAGTTTTCACGAATTTAAAACAATGCAGTCTGACATTATGGAGAGTTAAAAAGATTGGATACGCAGCAGCTTATAAAATCTTATGTCGTAAAGGCGCAAGTTGAAACGACGCTTGCAAGATATTACAGGAATCTTATTAAAACCTATTTTACAAAGAATCTGCCAAAATTAATATATACTTTTGCCATTTCTAAGATCCTAGAAAGTTTCGACCTCACTTTTCATTGATTTTCGAACTCTGTAAAAGGTTTTTAAACGCGCATTGAGCCGCTAGACATTTTATTGGAAAAAAGAGAGGCCGTCCCTGCCGCCTTTAAATGCCTGGGCAGGTTTCCTGCCGAAGAATTCCAGAACCGGCGACCGGGAGGCCCTGAAGCGAGCACGAGCGCGCTGCCGTCCCACGGCCTTTCCCGCGCTTTTCTGTCGGCGGCGGAGGCGGCGACGGCGTCTGCGCGAGGCGCTGGGCGTGGACCGAGGCGGCGCCCCGACGCCCGGCGTCGCCGAGTCGATGTCGGCCGACGCCCGCGCGCCGACTCCCTCACCCCTCCCCTCCTCCGCACAAACGCGCGCACACACTCTCAACACATCGCGATATAAAAATAATAATAAATAGAAAAGTACTCACCGGAATCTGATGGAGTCTGCACGCCGAGATGCTCCGTTTTGACAGATCCTTTGCTCAGATGGTAACTATGGTCACTCATGAACGCGTGTCTGCTGGATTCTATTTCCTCGCGCCGGCTGGCGGACTCGGACTTGCGAGAGTTCGATTTCGCGCGCCCGCTATCCGACGCGTGGTAGGTCACTGACGGGCGGCACATGAGTTCCGCGGCCTCCGCGAGAGAAGCCACATACGCCTCGTCGTCCAAGTCCAAATCACAGTTGACGGTGTCACAGAAAACTGACACCGCGTCGAGGGAGCTGCCGGACACGTCCGACGACGAACTGTCCACATTGTCAAACAGTTCCGAACCCAGCCCTAGCACCATGTCAAAAGAATGCCTGAAGCGCGGGTGGTCATCGTCCTCCTCGGATTCGGACTGCGAAGGGGGCGTGTAGGGGCGTGGCGAGTCGCCGTCGGAGCCGAGCGACGTCTGCTGGAAGCAAGTCGCCGTCGCTTGGCTCGAGCTGCTCGCCCACGGCCCCCACATCACGCTAGGTTTCACACGCTCCGTACGCTCGGGCAGCACATTGTTCTTGACGGGGCTGGAGGGCACGGGGGTCGAGCTAGCGCTCACTACGCCTGTCCGTGAAGAGATGAGCAAACTGCGATTGTTCGTTTTCAACAAACTCACTTCACTTTTGTTCAGAAGCGACGTCTGCGCGCGCGCGCCTGTCCTCAAGGTGTTCGCGCTCGCACCGGCGACGGTCGTCACAACAGGTCCACACGACACCGCCACCACCGTGTCCTCCGGCTCCACCGGTTCGCACTTCACCGCAGAGACGCCCGCCTCGCACTTTGCCGAAGCGGCGGCTGTCGCCACCTCCTTGACCACGGTGGCCGACAGGGCGGCGGCGGCTGCGGCGGCCGCGTCGCCGACGACAACGCTCTTCACGGCGACCGGCACTTCGGCGCTCTCCGCCGACCACATGCAGTCGTTGCGCAGCTGCTTCGCGTCCAGCAGCGCCGCGCCCCACTCGAACACGTCGTCTTCCAGTGTCTCCTGCTTCACGATCACTTCGTTGTCGTCCATGAAGTCCATGACGATGGGCGGCTCCGGGGACGACGAAGGGCGGCTGTCTGATGACAGCTCCTTCCAGAGGTCGCCGGCCGACTCCTCCAGCGACGAAGCTTCTAGCAACGAAGGCTCCAACGCTTCGGCCGGCGGCGCTTCTGACAGCGTGCGAAAATCCAAACCGGGGAAGTCGAAATCGTACATTTCCGGCAGCGGCACCGTCTCCTGGAGCGGCGCGTACATTAGCAACGACATATCGAGATCCAAGTTGGAAACTGAGAGACCCTGAAACAAAAAGATTGAACTGTTACACATACTATAACAAATGTCATCGGCGGGGCGTACATCAGACGCGACTAATAATGGCGCGCGATTTGAGAACTTGCGCGCCACGTCGCGAACCGCCACGAGATATTGACACTTCACACGTGTTATTTCACGAACACACGAACACAGTACTAGAGTAAGAAAAAATACTCACCGAAGCTTTAGATAAAGACTGTTCAGTATCCAAGTCGTCGGCAGCCAGCTTGTCAAAATGACAAACTACACGCGCGAAGGAAAAAATTACACGCCGGTACTTCACGTACTACTACTTCGCCCTATTAATAAGCGAAATAAACGAGAACAAAATCCGGAAGTGGCAAAGCTAACGACGGGCACACAACACATTTCACAAGATACGCGGTGCCCGGCGACTAGACCTGCTTGCCACTCCCCGTAAGCGCGGCCAGGGAACACCCCCTTTGAAGGTTCACAACCGACCGCAACCTTCCACTACGAGAGCGTCAAAGCGACTAGCGTAGCTGTTCGCCGTGCGGGATCTCTTTGCCGTCTGCTTCCCGCGCCAACTTGTATTCCTCCGCGCAGCCGCGGCGCGAAGTAGGCCGGCCGCTTGACAGAACGCTTAAAATTCGAGTTTTGACTCCGTTCTTTCGCTCAAATAAATCATAAAATATACGTTGTTCACATTTTTCATGTTTTTGCACTGACGATGTATACTTTCTCCATAAATTTGGTGTTAAGCCGGCGCTGGAAATACGCGGTACTACGGAATGAAGAGGCCCCAGAGCGAGCATAGCGTAGGGTTGTACATCGGCGCAGTACGAGGCCGCGCCGGTCGAAGAGGGAGCGTGGTGGGGGAAGCGCCGCATCGCGCGACGCCAGTTCAAGACGCTTCCCAGTTGTAATCATTCCTCTCTCTGCTGCAAATGGTCTCGGGAAGGGAGCGCCGGCCGACTCCGCCAAGTCCCATAAGTTGCCCTTGTCCTTTTCAGGATTTTGGTTCCTTTCAAGCCCTTTGATCATATTGTTACTGATTTTCTATTTTTAAAGGAAAATAAGTTTATAGTGAAATCGTTTCAGGTTTGAATTGAAATATCAGAAAATTTTTTTGGCTGATATTTACAATAAAATGTTTAAGTTTCTTTATATTATATTCATTTCTCTCTATATGTTTTGGCACTTACTACGAAGTACGTGTAGTCACTAGAACTGTCATGTAATTGTTTGAATAATTATTTCAGTACTTTATTTGTCAAAGCGGCGTTTGGCGACAATGAATACTCAGTTTCGCGAAATTAACAGGAGTGCAAATTCTCAAACACAACAAATGATTCTCGACACATGACAATGTTTTTGACAAATAATTCAAGCTATTACTTCTCTATTGTTGAAATTCAACTTAATTACTTTGGTGTCAATGTATTGTTTGGCGTGAACATTTTTTTTCTGTATTGTCGCACAGGTTCATTTTCTTATCAGACTCCACTTCACAAGTTACGACAATCGGAGTAAGGTCGCAATGTTACGTAATATTACGCCGTCTTGGGCGTGTCGACGATAGCGAACGAAGTCCCTGATATCGCACGTCTGGGCTGTCTGGCGCGAAATACGTTTAGACGGAGTGAACTGCACGCGCCAAGACTACAGTTTCTAATAACTGATGATCTATTAACGCCTTGCGTGCATTTGTACAGTACTCGACGTTACGCATTGTCGTAGTTATAAGAATTCCGTCTGTGCATAAGCTACGCATGTCAATTTACCTAGAAGTGTTAGATTTTGTTCGTTCTCTCATTCTACCTGCATGCATTCCGTATTGCATTTGAAGAACGAGAAAACCCGAAAAACAAGGAAGATGTCTCGCACGATATATTAGAATGACATAGTGACTATGTACAAAGTCTGGGAACACCACTTGTGTATGCGACAGCAAAGAAATTCCAGGGCATCCAATCTAGTAAATAAAAAAAAAAAAAAAAAAAAAAAAGAGCAGCCGCTCTCGTCCATTCCTCGCGACCTCATTGGCAATTTAGGTAAGCGAGAGGTTCACAGCGGGGAAGCAGGGCACTGAAGCTCGCGTCGATCCCCTCCACCGTTCCCACCCCCTTCTCGCGGCCTCCCCAGCACAGATCTCCGCTTGCCACTCCTTACGCCCACGCTCCTTGCCGCCGCCGCCGCCGCCGCCGCCCTCCGCACCCTCCACTGCCTGCCGCAGCCCGCCGTCGCCCGCCGTCGCCCACCGCCGCCCGCCCGCCTCGCTGCTCCGCTCCGTGTCAAGCGTCCTTTTACCTTGCCCCTGCCTGCCTACCATTAATGTTGAGATAACTGCGCAAGGCATGTAGAGCCCTACAAGCAGCGATCTTTATTTTTAATTAAAACACTGCTTCCCACTCTTCGAGGCCCTTCACAACTGCTCCTCTTTCCAGATATGCAGGACACGCAACGACCCCATCACACGCCCTACGTCCATGAACATTCTCTTCCTACTGATCTTCTGAAAGGACTTCACATCTAACAATGAAAAATATTAATTTTAAAATTCTTGTTTTTTGTAATAATAATAATAATAATAATAATAATAATAATAATAATAATAAAAATGAACAATCTAAATAGAATACTGTCTGTCCTTAAATGTCTTCCTTTAAGCAATCAATAAATTTAAAGAAAATTCAGTGGTTTCCGCTGAAATATTTTGGATCTCCATTATTGTATAGTATAACGAGAGGATAAAGAAATAATTTTCCATTACTCATGTTACCAAGATTGAGTAAATAATAATTTGAAGTTTTGAAAAATAATATTTGTATATTGTATATTTCCAGTTAATCTTCTGTAGGTGCACTAATGATGAGGTTTAATATCCTCGAAACACGTCTACTATGAGTTCATAATTGTTTAATAAATATTGTTTGTGGAAGATATTTTCTTTTTCTCACGTTACACTATATACTAATAATTTAAAGTTAAAAAAAATAAAGAAAATGGATATTTCCTTCCGAAACCCTGTAAGGGAATCTTTTGCCATACCCACCATTCACAGCGCAGATTGGCCGCGGTCACATGCGTGCCTTGATCCATTCTCACCCGCCCGCATGCGAAGCCCTCCCCGCCTCCCGGCGAAGTAAAGGTCATTGCCTGAGCTTTCCGGGAAAACGAAACATGGTGCCGCCCCCCGCCCGCCCGCCCCCCCGCCCCGCCCCCCCCCCGCCCCCGCCCCTCCCGCCCGCTCGCCAGCCCCTCCACCCCGCGAGCGCCGCACGACGCCCATTGTCCACGAATACTTCAGAACCGCTTCGCGGAAGCCAAATGAGGCCGCCTTAATCAATTGTGCATGAGTACGGGGAAGCAATGCTGTCTCTCCGCCTGTGCGCCAGTTGCATGCCGTGTGCACTCACTGCAGTCCGGCACGGAAGGGAATTTTCTTCTTCTTCTTTTTTTTTTTCGGGACCCACAGCGCTGGCTGTCCATCCACTTGCAGTAGCACAGTAGGCGCAACGGAACGTCTGTCGACCTACCAGGAGAAATGACGGTGTTTGTACAGGAGATGGAATCTGAATAAATGAACATCCAGGTCGCTCTGCCTCGTCCAACCTCGTAGCACGCGATGGAAATCTTTGGAATAAATCCGTCGAAATCTCATAAATGATATACATAATGAATTGTAATTCATGCATGGAGCTTTTCATTTACATCTAAATCAGGATATTCGCACAAGTGAGGTAATATGAAACTGAAGAAACTTAAGATTTCGTATTTCGTAGCTTGTTACTTGTTTTTAGTGTCGATGTTTTGAGACAATATTGATATAATATTTGACGATACTTTTTCGATCTGTTTTGGTAAAGATGCGAGTGTAATAGAATCCAAGAATAATCAAGGTTCCAAATATTTTTCCAACACTCTCTTAATTATAATACTTTGTTTTGCTTGGTGAGGAAACACGCAATAGGCGTCCGCAACCTATAAACAAGCGAGTACAACTACTTTCTGGGTCCCATTTCGCATTGACCTTTACGTATTTTACTTGTTAATAAATAAACCATATTACAAAGAGAAAAAAATACATTCAATAATTGCTTCTAACAAATACATTTTTTTAAGTTGAACTATTTATAGGTTGCCAGTTCTGGAGTACGTCTTCCCCAAATATAAAACAAATTCTTTAATTCACTGGATTTGAAGAATTAATTTAAATTATTGTGCAATATATTGTAATTAATTAGTCTATTATAAATTTAAAAATATTGTTATTTTTGCTTTAAACAATAATAGTCAATATCGTACACAATTCACACAGAGCTGAAAATTCCAACAATTGAGAATTGCCAAAACTATCTTGCCATAATACTCAAGATTTACTAAATTAAAAGGTTTAGTAAAACATGCCACAATTAGGTCTTCGTTTTCTGTTCAATATATTCCGAGTCTTCAGGGAGTCCGATGTCTTCACGATTTATAATCTGCCTTGTGCAGTGCCATTCAACAAGTTGCTACGTTTAAATATTCTCATCTTGCTAATGTGGATTGGGTGATTTCTCCTTTCAAATTTAAAACTGTAAACGAATCTTCCTTCTATCCGTAAATTGAACCAATTTCAAATAAAAGCGGCTTAAAAATTAGAATTATTATGTGATTAAACGTTCTTGTATTTTCTCAAGATGTCTTGCCGTATTAGAGTCAAATGAGCTGTTTCCAAAAAACTGTAGCGGGAGGCGTTCCCTGGCTGGTTATCCCTAACAGAGAGTAATGTGCAGTATGTTGCATGTTTGCACTGATGACGCATGCCTGTCATGAACTGATAAGCTCATGACAGAGGACAGTTACTGCTGGTTTCCATAGACCGTTACTTTAAAACGCCCTCACTGTTGATATTGTACCAGCAATTCGATACGACATCCAAACAGATACATTTTTTTCTAGTTTGTTGGCTTAGGCTAATGTATGAAGTTAACTCATCTAAGCTTCCTTTGATACATTTAAAGATATTAATATGTAATACCACTATTAATAGCAACTAAAATGAATGCTGGACATTAAGGGATCTACCCTTTAGAAATGTTTCAAAATATTATATCAGAATTTGAATGATAGATATGCAATCTACACTGATAAACTATCAGTGAACTTTGACCAGATGATCCTTTCGAACTGTATTTTAAAATGAAATATATAAACAAGCTATCTCCCGCAGAAAATAAATCGTGTGTTCGTCATTCTGTAAAATGTATTTGTAGACAAAGAACAATATTTGTCTAAATGTGTCTAGCAATCAGACAATGGTCAGAGTCTAATGGATCCCTTTTTGTGGATTATCCTTCAGGAATGCACTTAAGTAAACAGTACGTTTCTAGCAGGTACTGAGGTATTTCAACGAATCCTTCGAAGAAATTGCAACAAAAATAGATTTCCACAGCCTTTCTCTACCTGTCTTGCGCCCCCTCCCCCTCCCCAAGTCGCATCCATTCCTCGAAGATTCGGAATGGCGCTCACTCCCCGACTACCTGTGCGACCAGCCGCCGTCCATTTTTCCAATGCGAGAGATGACGTCAAGGCGTCGGTAAACAGGGAGACGGGCAGCAACTGAACGACCACACATAAATTAAAGCCCGAAGAAGCGCCCTGAAAAAGTGCTTCTGCGTTGTAAGTAGCTGTTTTGAGCTGGAGCGAAAGTCTAATTGATTCTTTCAAGGTCCTGTTTAACAAATTCTAATCGTTTCGAGCGCTTTCAAAGAATTCGTGTCTCACACAGCCTGTATTTTGTGACGGTATTGAAAAACCTGAATCGTTTCCGACCACCAACCGTCTACTTGAATGTCGAGCTAAGCTTCAGTGTTTTTCGATAAACTTCAACGTTTCCCCATCTCTGGTTGGTTTGTGAGTTGTGGCGAGTGTTTTCCGATGAAATGCTAGGGAAATGAGAAAAAATTCCGGCACATTTGTGTGTATCAAAATGTATATCTGAACTCTCACAAAGAAAAGAAAATATTGAATATTTCAATAGAGAGTGTATACCTTTAGGA